AAAAATTTAAGATGTTTTCAATCTTTTGTGATTATAAAAATGCTGTAATTGTTGTCCTTATACATACACCATATTGTTCATATGTAAACATATCTGGCTACCTTGAACATAAGAAGATATGTATTGGACAGATACTGAGATATCTTAGTGAGTCTAAGAAGGAGTTGACTAACCAAGTTAGAGGAAGAGAAGAAGCCAAAATACTGAAGGAGACTTAGCAGCAAGACTTTGTAGATGGTCTCCTCAGAGCACTGCTCAGTTTTACCATCTCCCAGTGTGATACACTAGCTCAATACTCACCAAAGCCATTTCCTCTTCTTCCTGGGAATGCCACTAGACTACATTTCCCAGCTCCTTTGCATGTAAGTGCAGCCATGTGACTATTTCTGGCCAATAGAATGGGAGCAGAAAGGATATATGTCACTTTTAGGTCTGACTCCTAAAACCTGCCATGCAATTCTCTCTCGTCCCTTGTTTCCCAGTTGTATGAAGAGAATCCAGTAAAATCCTGGTTGAAGGGAGCCTGGGTCCCTGAATCACTTTGTGAAAAGTTGCCCAACAAAAACCCCATTGGACTGTGACTTGAGAGAAGTAAATGTTTGTTATGTAAAGCCACAGAGATTTGGGGATTGTTTGTTATAGCAGTTGGTTTTTCCTGACTAATACACCCATGTCTGTATATCTCTGATCCAGTTTTTAAATTCTCAGTAAGTATTGTATATCTCTGATCCAGTTTTTAAATTCTCAGTAAATAATACTTGGTTCGTTATGGGATAAGTGTCTACCCCTGATCATTTGGCTATGGCTAGGCTGGGGTGTTGCAGAGTCACTTCATATAGACATTGTCTCCAGAAGCCCACCTTTGGGTTTGGGAAGCTATTCCCAGAAGGTGGGAATCATTGTGAGCTGGGAAGCCACTCCAAGAATGTCTTCTACATGAAAGATGATAATAAACAGCAAGAGGCTAAGACTGACAGAGCCTCTTATGCTGGCTCTCAGGGTAAGAGCAAGTATAGAAATTCTATCCACCTTCCCATTCCTCAGAAGCTTCACATCCCTATAAGACCTGTCATAAATCCTTCACTCTCAGAGACGATTAGCTCTCTCATGGGAAATGTAGAATAAATGAAAGTTAAAAGATCATTCATGTGAGACATTATGTTCAAGTAGATATTGTGTACCTCGCTGGGGAATATAAATGTGGGACCTAGCCTGTCATCCTCTTGTCAGGGAACAGAATCATGACTGGGAAGGAAGACATTCCTGTTAAATGAGTAGTGACATTCTGTCATGGAACACTGAGGATCACAGAGACATTGGTGAACAACTACAGGGGGCATTGTCATTTTTTGTCTGTCCCAGCATCCCATCTCCCCTCCTATTTTGGGAAAAGTTCTATCATTTGAGTTGGTTGGGGGCAAGGCCTCACCTTTTTCCACAGAAGCTGAAGAAAGCCAGATACCGCTTACCCTCCTCTGCCTCCTGACCCCCAACCCCTATGGACAGTATGGCCAATCTATTGGATGCCACCACCCAGGAATTTGTATCTTCAGCAAATGAGATGAGGATGAAGAGACAGCTTAGAATCCACCTCCAGCAGTGTTAGAAGTCCCTGGCAGTGTGAGGGCTCCAACAGAGCATCCTCAGGTATATCCCTGCATGGTGATTCCTGGTTCCTGCTTATTTTCTAAGCCTGGTTCTCAAGTCTTCCCATCGATTCTATGAGCCGCCCAATATCCTTCTAACACATTCCTTTTCTGCTTAAATTAAACATAGTTAGTTACTAATGCTTGCAACCAAGAACCTTGACTGATATAATAATTTTCTCTTCCTTCTGTTCATTTTTTCCCTTGACAATCTGACAGATAGAATATTTGAATTCTTGAAAGTGGCAAGATAAGCGTTATAAAATCCATGTCTCATACAGATGTAGATGACTAAAGTAATTAGAAAGCTGAGACATTATCTTTTTTTTCTTTAGGACTACAACAGGCTATGACCAGAAAAATATCTGAATCATCAAGGGCATACTCTACCAGATCTCTCTCTCTCTCTCTCTCTCTCTCTCTCTCTCTCTCACACACACACACACACACACACACACACACACACAGAGCACCTACTGGCCTCACTGTATGGCTCTTGAGTGGCTCCTCAGGGGTGGCAAGTCAGGCTCAGCTCATCCAGAAAAGATCAGGCGTAACCAACCTATACCTGCAAACAGGGGAGTCTGAAGGCTTCTGACCAGGTATCTGCACCACGGTGGGACTTTCTAGTGGCTCAGCCACACAGGAGGAGTCCCAAGTACCATCACTGCGTAGAGTGGAGCCAGGAAATAGGTAAGAGTGAGTAGGTAAGAAAGGGCCAGAGTGGGAGGTACAGCTAGTTGGGATGTAAAAGAAAGGAACAGGCCATCTTATGACAAGAAAGTCTCCCTTGTTAGACTCCCACAAGGGTTCCTATAGGAGATCTGTTGGAAGATTACTAGTCACGTGTCATTTAATGATGGGGATACGTTCTGAGAAAAGCATCGTTAGGCGATTTCCTTGTTGTGCAAACACCATCGAGCGTACTTACACAAACCTAGATGGTGTAACCTACTACACACCTAGGCTGTATGGTACTAATATTATGGGACCACCATTGTACATGCAGTCCATCATTGACCAAAATGTCATTATGCAGCACATGACTGTATATGAAATTAAAAGTGTTTCCATTTAGACCCTCAAGGTTGACTAATTCCTATTTCCCAACACTTGAACCACACCAGGTAATAATCCAGCAAAGAAAGGAAAAAGTTTAAAAATTTTTATTGTTTCTTCTGTTAACAGATAATAAGTACCCAACGCAAAAAGTCCAGAAAATTAAGAAAAGGATAAAAAATAAAGATGACCTATAATCTGATAACTTGGAGAAAATCACTGTTAAAACTTTGTATACGTACTTGCATACTTTTCAATGAAAATTTACATATATAAAGTTTAAAAACAATGGAATATATGTATAAACATAAATACATGTATATATACACACATACTTACTAATTTGTTGTTCAACTTCTGTCCCTTAAAATTTATTGTGAAAATCTTTCCAGAAGAAACAATAAAACTCTTTAAACTTTTTCCTTCCTTTGCTGCTTTAATTTTCCCTTTTCTCTTCCTCTTCCTCTTCTCTGCTGTTTTTCTTCCCTTTTGAAGAAGACTTGCCGCAGAGGTGGTATCCAGGAGAGGCTCCTGGCCAGGGCTGGGAGGGTTGAAGGCCTTCTGCTCCCATCTGCCAAATCCCTTATTAATGGACTTTCCTCAATTTTTCATGTTATAAACAATGTTCCAATTACTTGCATCATAGGTATATCTTTGCAAACTTCTTCCATTCTTTCCCAGAAGTAGAATTGCTGGGTCAAAGGTATATACTTTAAGGCTTTTCATAAATGTTATTAAATTGTCTTCCAGAAGGGTTACACTAATTAACACTCCCACTAGTAGAATGTGGGTATCCATTTCCCTACATCCTTTTATGTCTTTGGCCAACTAGGTAGTTGGAAAAACTATATCTTTACATTAATTTTGTTACAAGTGAAGCTGAATCTCTTTTCACATTTACTGGTCATGTGGGGATGTATTTCCTTTACACGTGTTTTTCAACTGGAGTGTTCATCTTTATTTTCTTGTTGAATTTTAAGAACTCTATGTTAAGGATTCTTACTCTTGTCATATGTGGTGTTATTGAATTGACATTTAAGAGAAGATTAAAACTAAAATGTAATAATAAGGCAAGAAAATATTTTAACTCATAAAAACAAGGAAAATGTTACATTAAAAGCAAGAGAATAAGAAATTCAGTTGAGACAAAATAAAGAAAGCCCAGATGGAAATAGGAAAATTTAAGGTGAAAGAAATAGAAAAATAAAAATAACCATTACTAGTCAAGTCAAAGAGAAATTCTAGAACAATGCCTACCTTCTAATTTGTACATTTAACCTGTCCATAAGAAAATAAAACAAAATTGGGGGGATGTAGAGGACAATATGACTTATCTCAAGGAGTCCAGGGACAGTGTCTTGGATCTGTAATCAAGGTCTCTGTACAGACCTGCATAGCAGATCAAAATGGGGAAGAGTGTCCAAATCTTTCACAGTACTCTGTACACTTGTTCAGACCATTAGCAAATCCTCCCGAGGAGGCCAAATCCATTTAAAGCTACATTTAAGAAGGGCAACAGATAAAAAGGTAAGCAAGGAAAGAATTACAAAAACAGGAAGAAGTCTTGATGGGAGCAGGTTAATCTGTCATTTTAATTGCATTGTCTCTTCTTTTTGTCCACTAATTAGATCAAGAAGCTATTAGAGTTACAGACGCTAAAAAGTGACTCCTCTTGAAGAAACCATAAGCAGTGAGGTGCCTTACCCAACCTACTCCAGATATCATGTAAGATAAATTCCGTCTAACACAGACTTCCGAGGAGGTCTATATCTTAAGAGCGGTTTTTCTGAGAGTACATGACAGTTTACCTTTAAAAAGGAGGAAGGCATGCATAAATTGCTTCCATGTCCATTTAGTCTTCACACAAGTAGTGTGAGATCAGTTTTACTATATCTCCATTTTATGTGTGAGAACAGTAAAGTCCAGAAAGGGTAAGTGATTTGCTGCAACAAGGTGCTCTCAACAGTGTGCACTGTGGAGCTGGAATCAGAAACAACTCTAGACCAGTGTTATCCAATAGAAATATAATGTGAGCCACATATGCTATTTTAAATTCTCTAGCTACATTAAAAATTAAAATAGGTGATTAACTTTAATAATATATTTTAGTTATCACAATACATTGAGTATTATCATCTTAACATGTAATCAACATAAAAGTTAATGAGATGTTTTACATTTCTTTTTTTCATGGTAAATCTTTGAAATCCAATAAATCTTTTGCATTTACAGCCAATCTCAATTTGCACTAGGCACATTTCAAATACTCAACTACATTTCAAGTACTTAATAGCCATGTGTGACTTAGTGGCTACCACACTGGACAGCCTGGTTCCAAACCAGTGGTTCTCAAGGTATGGTACCCAGACCAGCCGCTTCAGCATCACCTGGGAACTGTTAGAAGTGCAAATTCTTGGGCCCCATCCCAAACCTAATGAATTAGACACTCTGGGGCTGGGGGCCACCAATCAGTGTTTTAACAAGTTCCTTCTGGTAATTCCGATACACGCTAAAGTCTGAGAATCATTGCTCTAGACAAGAGCCTTTCCATCTCAATTCAAATAAACTTAGGACAGCCATGGCGGGCTAGTACTGAAGAAGACGACCCCCTTCGCTTGAGATAAACAATTCTTGACTAGATGAAGTTGACATTCTCTTCTATGGAAATCTTCTAGTCCTAGTTGTGGTTCCATTTCTTGGGACTATGTTCATTTATCATTTTGCTTAAGGAGGAAAAAAGCCACAGTAACTACCCTATACTATCACATTGAGTTTTAGTTACTAACTTCTCTTGTCCTCAGTTTCCTCATCCATAAAAATGAGCATCATTTAATGAATGTTAGCAATTAAAAAAAAATACTGTGTGCAAAAATAAAAAAGTCAGCAAAAGTGACTGATATTTTTAAACTACAGTTAAACCAATTAGTTGGCAGGAAAAGTAATATAGATTTTGAGCATAGAAGCAGAAGCCAACTTGCTTATATTTCTCAGAACACTAGGCTTGCTGGGGGAGGAGGGTAGGGTTCGTGCCAAAATCATTAAGGAGAACGAATCTGAGCATGCCTTAAAGCAGAACTTTCAGTAAACAGGAATTACCTATAAAGAAAATCAGGAAGCCAAAGTGTTTCTTTTTATGAAGTTACATCCTGCCATAGAAAAGCTGGATAGGAAATAAAGACTGATGCACTCCCAACTGTATACTAAACTGGCTATTATTTCACTAAGGAAAATCTGAGCAAAAGCTCAGATTCAGTGAAAGGAAGAAACATGAGAAGGCTGAGTGTCATGAGAAACCAATGACAACCAATGGCTACAATTAAACATGATTTTGGAAAAAACTATACAAACAAATCTCTGTTCTATGATTGCAGATTCCTTAGTGGCCGCCTGTCCTCTCCAACTTCTTCCTCCCATTTCAGTAACACTTGCTCCAGACTTTTGCTTGAAAATAATTATATATGTGTGTGTGTGTGTCCACAAAAATAGGAGACTAGTAAACTAATCCTAATTTTTCCTCTTCTCCCTCCTCTGCTTTTTCTCTTCCTCCTCCTCCTCCTTATTATTATTAATAATATTAATCGTGCGTTTCCAGGGTTCTCTTAACTTTTCCAGGTTTCTGGGATGGCATTCTACCTTGCTCCGCAATCTTCAGTTTATCAGAGAAAACGCTTTCACCACCCTAACACTTTCCCTATTTCTCCTCCCACTTTCAGACACCAGAAAGGCAAGAGAGCCCTTTCTCGAGGCAGGTTCCCATGGTTTTGGGGGAATGGCAAATGCCTTTCTGCAGTGGCAGCTGCAACCTTCTGCAAAGCAGAAACTGCAGCTCATATTCTCTCCTCCTTCCCTCGCCCGAACCCACTACCTCACAAGTCCGCACAATCCTCAAACACACACACACAACTCCTCCAACCTCGCATCCCCTCTCACACCCTACACGGGCACGCGGGCCAGGATGCCCGCTGCTACAGCAACGCTCAGCCCACTCGGTGGCCCCACCCATTGCAGCCCCGCCCCCGTCCCAGGCACCAATGGTCACCGCCCACAGCTCCCGAGGGGCCCGTTGATAGGGCAGCGGGGCCTGCCACTCTCAGGGTGCGTCCCGCCCCCTCCTCACTCTCCGCCGGGGCTGGAGGGGCTGGAGCATCAGCGCGAGTAGCTGCGAGCAGCCGCGGCGGCGGCGTGTCGTTGCAGTTGCGCCATCTGTCAGGAGCGGAGCCGGCGGGGAGGGGGCTGCCGCGGGAGAGGAGGAGGGGTCGCCGCGAGCCGGAGGCCGTTGAGACCCGCCCGCCGGCTGGCCGGGGGAGCAGAGGCGAGGCTACCTCGGAGCTCCGCGTCCTCTGCCGTCCCGGCGCGCGGCGCTTCACCGCGCGCACGGAGGGCTCCCCGGGTGCACACAAAGCCGCCGCCCGCGCTGCACCGCCCGGCGGCCGCCGCCCGCGCCAGGGAGGGATCCGGCCGCCGGGCCGGGGACACCCGGCGCCGCCCCTTCGGCGCTCTCGGAAGGCCCACCGGCTCCCGGGCCCGCCGAGGAGCCACTGGAGCCGCCTCAGCCGCGCCGGAGGAGGGCGGGGAGAGGACCATGTGAATGGGCTCCGGAGCCTGAGCGCCGCGCAGGTAAGCGGCCGGGGATGCGTCGCGGGAGGCCTCGGGGATGCTGCGGAGACGCGGGCCGCCGCCCCCGCCGCGGGGCCCCGCGCTGCAGTCTCTGGGCCGCCGCCGCCTCCAGGGCGCCCCGCGGGGCTGCCGGGGAGTTGGCCGCGCTCGGAGTCTTCCCGCGGCCGGGCTGGAGGACACCTCTGCGCGGTGCGGCCCGGAGGTAGCGCAGGGATGGGGGCCCATTTCCTCGGCCGCGAGCGGGCGCGGGATGAGAATGGGAATTGGCTTGGGGGCGAGGCTGGCCCAGACTCCGCCCCCGCCCTCCTTTCGGGGCCCCCCGCGGGGACCCGGGCTGTGTGTGTTGTTTTAATGTCAGGGATGATGTAATCACTTAATAATTGATGCCCCGTGCTGCTTCCCTCCCCACCGCACCCCACCCCTGCCCCACTCCTCCACCTCTCGTCCTCCTTCTGCGGCCGTCGCCTTCCCCATTGCATCCTCCTGCCTATTTCTGGCACCTCCCTTGCACTTCCCCCATCCTCCCCTTCACTCTTCCTGTGCCTCCACCCACCCACCCTTCCCCTGTCCCCCGTGCAGGAGCCTTCGCTCCTCTTCCTCTGCCCCCCACCCCTTCTGCTCCCTCAGGCTCCTTTCTCCTCCCTTCCCTGCTCGCTGGATTTCCTCTCTACTTCCCTAGATCGATGACTGTTTTTGTTTGGTCGCCTCCCCTCTCTTATCTCTGCGGCCACAGGCGGAGGGGACTGGGCCAGAAAGAGGCCACCGAGCTTGGGCCCAGGCGGAGATTTGCTGGGACTCAGTGAGAAGAGGGATAATAAAATCACCCTTCTTGCCCCTCCCCCCATAAATCACACAGACTCGCCGGGTGTGTGTGTGTGTGTGTGAGTGTGTGTGACACAAAGAGCCCTTTCAGTGCATAGAGAGGAGACACACAAAGTACCCAAGGATGGGCGCTGTGCTTCTTGTTTCTCTTCCCTGGGTTTTCCCTTTCTCTCAGATATAGCAGTTGATCTTCTCTCTCAGAATCTTTCCTGCCACATTTACCAAAAAATAAAAGGCCCCAGATGCGGGGTGGCAGGTGCTGGCATTTTGCTGTATTCATGGACTGGTAGTGTTGACTGGTAGCTGCAGTGTTCCTTAGATTTAAGGGGGAAATGATTCTAGCTGTCATAAGAGTTGCTTTACTTTCAAGGTAGTCTCCACTCCGCCCAGTTTTAACCCCCTCTCCTTTCAGGGATAGATACTAAGAGCTGAGGTAGGGTACATTGGTGTGGGAGCAGAAGAATTTTGTTTCTGAATCAGTGAATTAAATTGGTGTTTGATAGGAGTGAGGCAGCCTGACTCGCTTCTCTCAAGTCTAAGGACTGCTCAAGTCTTTTGAAATGAATTGTCAGCCCAGTGATGTTGTTTTGCCCTTATATTTAAACAAGTTCCTGGGTGCATTGATAATACATCATTAAATTGGTATTTGGAAGACCACTGGAGACGGTCTCTCTTCCCTGCTTCAGGGTAGGCTTCAGACACCCACATCCTTTCCTCTCACCACTCAAGTGACTGCAATATTTTCCACCCTTTGTGCATTTTTCCCCAGTCCCTGCCCCATGGGTACTCTGCTTTCAGTTAAAGAGACTCATAGATTGTTGGAGGAAGTGATTTGTTAGCCATCTCAGGTTTTAGGGGCACTTAGCTGTGAGCAAACGATATACAGGATCTTTTGACTGAACTCTTGAACCATCTGCTTGATGTTCCTCTTAAAGAGGAAATGTTAATGTAATTCTGGGGCCTATTGTTCCATTTTGCAAGCCAGTGACTATTACATGTTTAATTGATAATGTCAAAACTTAGGACAAAGGTTGAAGTCATTGATTCTTAAGAGCGTGGCTCCTTGACTACGATAAGTAGTAATAGAACCGTCTCAAGTTTGTTCTTCAAGAATTTTATTAGAAAAGAGTTGTTATGATTCATTAAACATTTACTTTTGCACTTTCTAAGGACATTCATCATGGAACATTTTATATTAAAAAAAGCGATAGGGTTAATGAGTGTACTGTAAAAACAAAGGGTTGTTTGTTTGATGCCAGACCCAAGATAGGAAAGTCAGTGCACGATAAACTCATGTTGACCAAGTTAAAGAGACATAATGATAAGGTTGAATGTGAACAAATGCACACTCTGCTTTCTGTACCTTTACCCTATGCTTTCTCTGGGTCTGGAATCTCCAACCCCGTCTGATTTGCTTGGGTCCTATTTAACCTTTAGGGCCCAGCTCAAAAGTCTTCTCTGTGATGCTTTCTCCACCCTTTCCCCTCCAAACTTTGTTTTCCAACTTCAGCAGCAGGCGTTGTTTGGCTTGTGTCTGTTTCCATCATTAGTTGGTCAGCACGTTGAGAGAAGGAACCTGGTCTTATTTATCTTGTTTTCACAAATGTGACTTAGGTCCTTGGTAAGTGCTAGGCTCCTAGATTAATGAGGCTAATGTTAGAAGCTGTAACAAATAGGCCTGCAAAAATCTAATGGCTCAAAAGCAAAAGAGGTTTATTATTCCTCATGTAATAGTCCAGAATGGGTATTTCTGGTCAGTGGGTGGCTTTCCTCCATGCAGTGATTCTGGGCCCCATGCTCCACCATCCCATAGCACTCCATTTTAACCAGCTTTCAGCTGGCAGAAGGACAAAAGAGGGAGTGGAGGGGTGCACCCACTTTTTAAATGCCTTGGCCTGGAAATGACACCTGTCACTTCCACTTACATCCTTTACATGAGGGCTAGTTATATGGCCACATTTAACTGCAAGGGAGCCTGGGAAATATAGTTTAGCCATGTGACCAGAAAAAAGGTCAAGAAGAAACGTATTTTTGGCCAGCAGCTTTGCCTTATGCTGCCACTCAACAAGGCACAGTCATTGCCCTCAATGAGTTTATAGGCTGAGCAGAATTAAATTAGATGGAAACCTAGAGCCTATACCCATCATTGCATTTGTTCTTTTGATTTTATAAGTTCAGATCTTTTCATTTTAAACATGTTTCAAAAAACCTTGCTTTTTTTCGGTTCATGTGGCCAGTTCCCACTCAGTGGTCCCTTGTAATTCAGTGATCTGATGCCTCCTGTATTGACTTTGGTATGGTTCTTTTACTCCAGTAGCACCTTTCTTGGCCTGTTTTTTTCATCTGCTGGTTTTTAGACTCCAGGGTGGCTAGGAGGGTCCTTAGAAATCACAGTCTTACCTTCTCTAAATTGGAAGAGGAAATTAAGCAGACTCCAGAGGAGAAACTTCTTGCCCCAGACCATGCGAATGGGAAGCATGCTTCAGCCTGCCCAACTCTTCAGTTCCGCCTGGGTCCTCTCCATCACGCAGCTGCCCTGACTTGGTGACTGTGAGTCCTGCATTTTCCATGGAAGTTAAGTGAGCTTCCAGACCTCCAGGAACAGGGCGAACTACTAGTGTTCTGGATGGTCCCTGTTCTCCACAGGCCTCCAAATTATTGGAGCAATTCTGTCCATACTAGTCATCATACTTAGTGCACATATTTTTGCTATAAACAGTTCATTATATCCATCTGTTCTGCAGACATTAGCCCGGTGTGTTAATGTGTGCAAGGCGCTGGGAGATAGGGTCATGAAAATGAATACTTCTGCTGTCCTGGCTCTTCAGGAGCTTGCATTCTACTAGAGGAGATAAAAATAATAAATAATATCTAAGTTTTATTGAGCATTTAATGTGTGTCAAGCACTTTTTAAGCTCTAATCTTAACAATAATGCTATAAAGTGGATTATAATCCCCATTTTACAGATGGGAAATTGAAGCAAGGGAGGTTAAGTAACTAACTCAAGATCATATCGCTAGTAAGTGGTCAAGTCAGGATTCAGGCCCAATTTAGTTTTGTTTCAAAGCCCTGCTCTTAGCCCCTACACAATATGCAGAATACTACATAGGGCTATAATGATGATATTAATTAAAATGTGTTACATGCCATAAGAGGGGGTGGTGGCATAAGTGCTTTGGAAGCTGATACTTCAAGTTGTTGGGAAATAGAACTTTATATTTAAATAAAAAATAAAATGTCCATTCTACCTCCATTCCTTCCGTTTAGACCCTCATCTGTTGCTCACCTAGGATATAAAAAATTAACTTAAATTTAAAAATGGGAAAGCGAAGCATGTTGGTACTAGAAATACTTTTACTCTGTGTGATTCTTTAAGTTGGGTCCCTCTGTGGTCCACAGATAGGTCTGTAAGAGTTTGTGAATTATCCTACATATTTACTCTTTCAGCAGCATTCATTCATTGAACTAGATGCTTCAGGGGCAAAGAGGTTTGATCCTGCCCCAAGGAACTTACCTACACAAGGAAGCCTTTGACCACTGTGATAAATGCTGTGATTCTAGGGGTCCTCACAGGGGCAAGGGAGCATACAGAAGGGAGCATGAACTCTGCAAGAGTAGGAAAGTGGGGTGGCCAGGCAGAGAAGGCCAGAGGTGAAGAGTAGGAGTTGGCTAGTTGAGTGTTGTGGGAAGGTCATTGCCTCAGAAGGAGCAGCCCAGAAGGCCAGGGCACAGACCTTTTGGGAAATTGCAAGTAGTTCAGGGTGGGTGGGGGTGGTAGAGTGATGGACAGAGAAAGAAGATGGCGCTGGAGGAAAAATCGAGAATGTTCTTGTAAGTACTTTGTCAGGAATGCCATTTAAGAGTTGTAAGTGGAAATGCTGCTTTGATCTGATTTGTATTTTATAAAGATTATCTGGCTACATTGTGGGCTGTTGACCAGAGGCGGTCAAGACTGATGCCGGGAAGGTAGTTATGAAAACAGGTGAGCAAGAGATGAGGGTCTGAATGGAAGGAATGGAAGTGGGGATGGAGCAAAAGAGACAGAATAAGAGAGGGTGAGACAGTGTCTGGAGGGGGCAGAAGAGGGGTCCTTGGGAAGTTAGGTGGAGAGAGACATGCGGACAAGCAATACAGTAAGAAAAGCAGGGGCCAGTGCGTGAAGTGATGACTTGATTGTGGACACTCTGGACTTTCAGGTCCAGGTGTCTCATAGGCAGTTGAATAGATGGGTCTGGAGTGAGGATTAGGACTCAAATATAAATCTATTAGCAGCAAATTACAAAATACTTGAAGCCATGGGTGTGGCAATATCACTAAGAGAGTGTGTAGAGCAGAAGGGGCAGGCAGGGCTGAGGGAGAGCCCGGGAGCAGAGGAGGAAGGGGAGCCCAGGCCCTGAGTGGGAGAGGTGCAGCCAGAGCACTGGGTGGGCCCTGGGGAGAGAGGTGTCCTTGATCCCCGGGAAGGGAGGGTTATGCCCCAGAGGTTAAGCAAGACTAGGAATGAAAAGTGAAGTTGGGTTTAGCACTGAAGAACTCTGAACCAAGCCAGAGCAGCGTCAGGGGAGTAGAAGGTGGAAGTCTACAACTCGGCTGCTCCCCAGACCAAGGTAGAGACGTGTATAAAACCCAAAGAACATACAGCCAGAAGGGACTTAGAGAGCGTGTAGTCCAACCTGTTCATTTTACTTATGAGGAAAAATGAGGCCCAGAGAAGCTAAGTGACTTGTCCAAAGTGGCAGAGTCACCACTTAAAGCCAGGTTTCAAGCCCTTCAGCCCAGGTGTGGTCAAGAGCATGGGCTCAGGATCTGGACCTGGTTCCACCCCTTCCAGCTATGTGAGCTGGGCCAAGTTACCTAATCTCTCTGTGCCTCCCTTTGTTCACCTTTAAAGTGGAGATAATAGTTCCTACCTCCAGGGTTTGCTGTGAGGAACAAATGAGTTAATAATGTAAAACACTCAGAATAGTCCTCCACACAGGAAAAGCAGTCTAAGTGTTATCTGCTGTTGTTAAAGTATGTGTGTGTGTATACATATACACACGTACACGTATACACACATGCATATAACATACGTACATATAACATATATATCCCTTAGGGAAGGGAGGATGAAAATGTATTGTGTGCATAAAAGGAAATTTTGAATATTTTAGAAAGAGATTGGGTGACTGTTGGTTCTGGCTTGAGGATTGTTGGAAAAGATGGGAAATGTGTTTATACAGTACGAT